TTTTGACAGAGGTATTTCTCTATAATCTAAAGCTCAGACTGAAATCTTGGTAAGACTTGGTGCCCTTCCGTAGTTCTTGCAGAGCAGGTTTAGTTTTCACTTTCAATTTTCTTGCATTTTTTTCCTTAAAAAGATCTGTAAAGTACATGCTTGTTGAAAAATAAAAGAAATATTGCAATTTCTTGACATATCTGAAAGATAAACAGTCATCTTGTATTTAGCTTCATCTAATGTTGTCATCTTCACACCAATTGTGAATACAAAGTGATAGATCCAAAAAGTGGGAGCACTTACATAGGACTTACTTCTAACTTTTTTTAGATGGAGACAAGCAATAGGAGACACGTGGCTTGTCTCCTTTTATAATGTACAGTTTTTCTTGTAAACAATGACACTGGTTCTGACTGCTTTTCTGTTTAATTTTTATAAGGATGTTGGATGTGCTTCCGTATGTCTTCTCTTTTTAACTTTCTGTTCTCCATCCATATAAATCAGTTACTTTCTCTTCATTTTCTTGATGAACTATTCTTTTTGAACCAACTACAAGGAACAAGACATTATTTGGTGGCATTGGTTTATTTATTTATTATTTGGTGGTTATCCTTTGGACTTGATGTTTCTCGTTGGTGTAAAAAAAAAAACCCAAAGAAACTCAGAAGCAAACAAACCAATAACGTAATTGTTTTTATTACCATTTCTCCTAGCCTTTCTGCCTTGAAATCTAAAGGAAATAAACTAATATGCTCATTCCTACCTTTACACTTCATATGTTCTGTCCCCCTTTTTCTTTTACATTACAGACTTCGTGAAGACAGTCTGTTCAGATGTGTTATATTATTTCAGTCACACTTTGATTCACCTCTAGGGTCCTCTGGGAAGTTCTTTGCTTGAAAAAAACGCACCACCCTAAATCCCAATTCATTCCGTAATCGTGGCATTTCCTTTTACAAGTCTTGCTCTGTTTTTTTTATTTTTTTTTTGGGGGGGGGGAGGGAAGAGTGTTGTTTTGTTTTGGTTTATTTGGGAGTTTTGTTTGTTTTTTTTAAGTTGTTTGGCTCAAATATGCTAGGTAATTTTTTGGAAGATACTCTGTTGGACTTAGTTTAATTGGAAAAGTATCACTACATCCACTAAAAGCTAAAACTGTCTAACTATGACAGTCAATCCAAGACTGGTCTTTGTATTTTTGGAAGCCCCTTTTAACCAGATTCTTCGGTGCTACTTCATATATACAACAAAGAATGACATCTGCAGCTTTTCTTTTAATTAAAATTTCATTCTGGGCTAACTTTCATTTCAGTTTAAACCATCCAAAGAAAAAAGTTCCAGTTTTTTTTCACTTGGTGTGAAGTTTGGACAATGAAATTGTACATCTCTATGTAGTTAGAAGACGTTAAAACAAAAGGATATACTGTTGGAGTAATGTAGATAAATGAATAAAATACCTGAGTTGATGTTTAATTTTATAAGGCAGAGCAAGAACATTCTTGCTAGGGAATGCTTCTACAGGAGGGAGAACAGGAGAGCTGCTGGTGGACTCGGGAGAGTTCTGAACCGTGACTGAAGTCATGAGGCGCTTCCAGGGTCCGGTGTGTCTGGCTGTGCCTCTGTTGTGTTTCTTTAGCTGTAACTTACTCAAAAAGGTTAAATAGTAAGATTAGTGCCTGTACCACATGGATTTGTGTCTGAGTTGCCTTCTCAGTTGTAGCGAAGTGTCTGTTTAGTGTTTTCAGTAGGACTTCATTGGCCTTGGCTATTAATTTTGTTTGGGAAAGAACCTTACCATTTATTCTAATACGTAAAACAAGGAATAGCAAGAGAAACCCTCTCAGTGCTTGCCTGAAGTGATAGCGGTCTTTCATTAGTCGTTCTTTACAGGAAAAACGTACCTATTTCAGGACCATGACATTTCTAAAAAGATAGTATTTCTTCACAAACATGAGCAACTCTTTGTGAACCCTGGGAAGCCGACGCTGGCGGCATCAGGAGCCGCAGCAGCCGCGGACTGAGAGGAGCGCGAGGCTTGTGAGGCCCCGCCGGCTGCCCGGGGGG